GTTCGTTATTTTGAAAGGTTGGTATAGTGAAAGCCCAAAAATTAATCATAAATACTTATTTTCCAGCGACCAAAATGACCTACTTTCATAACGGTGGGTCCTTGAACTCGCTTTTCACGATAATAAACAAATGCGCAAGAGAACACCAAAAATTCATGTTTCCTTAAACAAGTGTGTGTTTTTTTTTTCATTCTTGTTTTTTATGCATACAGCATTAGTTTTGCAGCGCGAACACCTCCAGATGATACACATTCTCCTTAGCGAAAACTGCTTCCGCCTCTTTGTCGCAAGCAGAGATGAACTCATTGTAGTAGCACCGCAGCGCGAACACCGACTTGCTTTGCGGACGCGATAAGTAATCATCGAAAAGGTGAACACGACTTGCAGAACACCTAATACCCCTTAGGCCTCCTAAATCACAGGTAGATGTGACAAAGATAAGAAAAACCCAAAGTGTCGCGGCTGTCATCGCCTCTTCCAAAAAAAGAAAGAGCTGAAAAAGAAAATTTATCGCGTTTCGTTTTCTGCTCTCTCGCTTTCAAAGGTTTTCCACACCCATGCTTCCTGCTCCGCAACTCCCACTCTGCCTCGCTGACTTTGTCCTCCAGTGTTTCCCTCGCCCCTGCGCTTGTAAACATGCAGTGTCGGCGTTTCAATAAAAAGAAAGAAAGTCATCCTTTCGTTTTTTCCCCCTTTCACACTGTCGTGTGTCTTTCGAGAAGCAAGGCGTTCGTTCGCTGTGTTGTCTGCTTGAGTATTGCTCCGGTGGTCGTGACGGATTTCAGAATATGAATTTGTAGTACTTGGGCGTTAATATCACACTGAACTAAATTAGCATTCGTTATTCTGAAAAGTTTGGTGTTCTGTAGTAGTTCAATAATTTTACATTTAACCATTTATCAGTCTGCGCAGGATTTTTTAAAAGTTCGTTAATCTGAAAAGTTCGTTAATGTGGTGTTTGTTCTACTGAGATTTTACTGTATTTCATAATATCCATCTTTTTACATGCAAATGAGAAGCTGGCTTATGACTGCCCAGTCATACAATCGAATCCCACTATAACGATGTCCGTTACATCGAAATTTCTCCTACGACGAATAATTTTCGATTCCCCGCCAGCTGGCCATAGAAAACAGTGGGAAAAATTTCTCATCATGACGAATATTTTTTATGAATATTGCCACGGCAACGAAGTTTTCGCAATTACCACTACCTCGAGAAAAGGAACTTGCCAAGAATTTTCATGAAATTTCGCTATCAACTTGGCCGTTTCTCGTTGGTTCGTGACATCCAGAGTGCGTGGCTGCATCGCAACACCCGTGTTTTCATCGGAGACCCGTTTTCTGCCATTACACAGACGTTTCGGTAAATTTTCCGCCATTGAGATGCTCGGCAACACGTCAGTCAACGACCATGATGCTCCCGGGGGGTATTCTGCACGTGCGAGCCGCGGCAGAATTGTTTAAGGACTCCTGCCATGTTTTTACGTTGTGCTTGAAAACAAAATTACCGCTCGTCGTCGCTAGCGGAGCGATCGCGAATGACATCCACGGCGTTGTGATGGCGAACACGAAGCTAGCACGCACCCCGTTCAAGCGTTGATTGATTGATTGATATGTGGGGTTTAACGTCCCAAAAACCACCATTTGATTATGAGAGACGCCGTAGTGGAGGGCTCCGGAAATTTTGACCACCTGGGGTTCTTTAACGTGCACCCAAATCTGAGTACACGGGCCTACAACATTTCCGCCTCCATCGGAAATGCAGCCGCCGCAGCCGGGATTCGAACCCGCGACTTGCGGATCAGCAGCCGAGTACCTTAGCCACTAGACCACCGTGGCGGGGCCCCCGTTCAAGCGTAACTACATTCTGCCCCAACCGCTGCTAACACGAATGTGGTCGTGGCTATCATGGGCGACCACAAAAGTACGCGCGCCGACTCGACCCAATACTGCTTGCCGTGATGCTACAGACTAAACCGCGTTGATGCGAACAAAGATAATGACAAAGTTCTGAAGGCACGTGCACAGCCAGCGCAGCGCCCACAGATTGAAAACAGAACTTGCCACAACCATTGTGCAAAAGCCGTGGTCGCTATCATTGCGTTCATTAATAGGGAATACTGTGAATGTGTGTAGCTAACACAGCCATAGATTGAAGGCAATAAAGCCGTAAAATGGCACGAACCATTACGACTTTCCTGTCGTTCACTTATTGATGTGGTAGTGCGGAGTTTTGGCACTTTCAGTTGCAGTTTTCAGTTCACTTCTAGCGAAGCTTTGGCACGTTCGTTCACAGCGGCGCACTCCGCACACTCCAAGGGTCATGTGAATATCATATTTTCTCGTGTATAACCCACCACTGCTTATAACCCAGCTGCCGCATCTGTAAATAACAGGCGAAAGAAAAAAAATCGCCCGCGTATTGACACGAAGTGCCTTCTTTGCAATATCATGGAGGCACGTCGTGAAGCCAACCGGAGCGCCGAAATTTTCGTAAAACCTGAACACGGACTTCAGCTCCAAATTTACGGTATATTTTTATACGCGAAAAAAACATGTTCACTCGGTGTGTGGCCAAGCATGTCAGAGTTGGCGAGAGTTCAATGCATGCACTTTCTGGGAGCAAACGACAAGATTATCATAGAATTTCGCCAAATACAGTAGACTCAAAAGACGAGATTGTCATAAAATCTTACCAAATACAGTAGACTGTCAGTAAATGGAACTTGAAAGAACCGGAAAATATGTTCTATTAACAGGAGTTATTTACTGAGAGGTGAACATGGGTGCAGAATACAATCCCGAAACCGCCCCGCCGCGGTGGTCTAGTGGCTGACGTACTCGGCTGCTGACCTGCAGGTCGTGGGATCGAATCCCGGCTATAGCGGCTGCATTTCCGATGGAGGCGGAAATGTTGTAGGCCTGTGTGTTCAGATTTGGGCGCACGTTAAAGAACACCAGGTGGTCTAAATTTTCGGAGCCCTCCACTTTGGTGTCTCTCATAATCATATGGTGGTTTTGGGACGTTAAACCCCACATATCATTATTACAATCCTGAAACCAAGCATTGCAGAGGTAATAGTTCCTTTTAAGCAGTAGTTCTGTTTAACAGATATCGGATTTCTGAGTCTGCAACAAATTTCGCTACGACAAATTTTTTTGCATGTCTCGTCTATTTCGTTCTAGTGAGATTTGACTGTATGTGCAATTAAATTTTAATAGAGCAGGAGTGAAATCTTTAGCAGGAACAATACTTCTTTGCAGACTTGTTTGTTCATACTTTAAAACTCTACTTGCTGCGCAAGCTGAAGGAAAACAAATCGAGAAGGGATACGGCACTTTTTCCTGTCTCCCTTCTCGTTTTCCTTCAGCTTGCGCAGCAATTAGAGTTTTCAGCGGCAGCATTGTACAATTTTTTAGCACCTGACACAGTGATGTGATAGCTGCATCAATGTTTCACCATTGGGCCAAGTGGTGAAGCCTGTTACATCCTGCCACATTTCAACAAAAATCTTTATAATTTGCACCGAGCAACGGCCATGGTATCGTTTCTTTAGCCTTTAGGGGTAAAATGGCGCAGGAGGTACTCAATATTGCTAATGGATTGATAAAAATTAAGTTTCAGTGCAAGGCTTTTTTTCCCAGAAGTTTACTATGTGGCTATAGTTTGGTACAACGTGAGAAGACTGGAGAGGCACAGCCTAAGTGACTGAGGTGTGGCAGCCAATTGCCTCCACAACTAAAGAAATAGTCCTGTTCATGTTCTTGGTTTTTCGACATTGGGGTCCATCTGGCTCATGCTGTTCGTGTAGAGTGCATGCTCATTAATGCAGGCTTGTGTGCATTGCTTTTTATGAGGCTGCTGCCTTGTAAAGTTGAGAAGGACAGGAATCGGTCCAGTGATAATTCGGGTCAATGTTTTGTGCTTAAAGGGACACTGAAACACTTTTTTTTTTTTTAAACGAGATTATGGTGTGATGATATGTAGTTTCATGCGGCGAACTCGAAAATCAAGTAAAAAATTTGCAAAAACCAACGCAAATAACTTAATTTTGCCGAAAACAAGCAGCAGGTGCCGTGTCCGTCATCGCGAGTCTCGCCGCCGCTGTAATTGGTCGAAGCTCCATGACGTCACTGTTGGGAAGATGGAGGACAGCTGATTGCGCTCGCTGGCAATCAATGCCATGTTTATATGTTGAGAAGCTGCGCTGTGCTCCCTACCGGGCTGCAGAAATTAGGTGCCTTTTCCTCTTCTCACCCCGATCACCACCACCACTATCTGTTGAAATTGGGCAGTTGCTGTAAGTATGGCGAACGTCACAGTCTGACCACAGAACACCTACCGTATATACTTGCATAATGATAGCACTTTTTTTTTTTTTTTTCAAAAAATTCTCAATGTAATCAAGCTTTGCAATAGAGTATCGAGGTGTAACGATAAGCTCTCTAGTTGAAAAAAATTATTACATTATTGAAGTGAGTGTTTTTTCTTTAGCAATGCCCTATCATTCAAACATAATTGTAGAATTTCCTGTGTAAAAAAGAATTCCTTCACATAAAAAGTATAATTTCAAATGACCAAAGTCTTGGCATATCAAATGAATTCTCATTTTTACCGACTTCGTTGCATCAAAGTTTCACTGTATGCTACATTTGCAGTTGGCCCCTTCAGAGTTTTGCATCTAGTGAAAAGGGGCAACATTTGGCACATCTTTATCCTTAATTTTGCTAGCTCACCACACAGGCCATGAGCAAATTCCAGATTACCTGATCCCTCTCTATGTATTCAATCCTCATGGCTAATGCAGTCTGGCTTTGGTATGCACAGGTGACTAAGTCTTGAAATATTTGTTTCAGCATTGTCAGTCACCATGTTTTGCAACAGCTGGCAAGTGCTTAGTTGCTTGAGCTGCCATTTAAGCTCATTTGAGTAGATGTGATATTGGATGGTCTTGTGCAAAGCGCCCTGCCTTTTTGCTGCGACATTGGCAACTGCAGGGCCCACGGTAGTGAGCACACCATGTCCTGGCGGAAGTGGTGCCCAGGTGTCGATAACCGCTCAGCAGGCTGTGACTGTGTGCCCTGACCACCATCACCACCATCACCACCACCATCACCACCATCACCACGGGCCTCCTGCTCATCCCGTGGCGTCAAACTTAGGCCAGCAGCCTTCTACTTTGACCTTCCACCCTTCTGCCTTTCCCATCCATGCCCAGGTTAGCAGTATGATTCAGTGTGCCCTGTACTGCAGTAGAAAGCATAGATTGTTGTACGAAAAAGATCAAAAGGGTTGATAATCCTTGATTTTGTGACCCTCATCTTGCCCTTTAGAGCACTTTTCTTTCACCAGTCCTTCTCGTCACATTCGTATGTTCCATGTTTTAATAACTCCACGAGGCAAGTGGAAATTACTAGGCAGAGATAACAATCGGCCACAAAAGAAAAAGTGTAAACAAAGCACTCATGCCTAGCAGGTCAGACTGTGCAGTGCAAAAGCAAGGAAATTTAGAAGCACACTTTGGTGTGTAGGTTTCTAAAGTGTGTAGGCTATATGCGAACTTGTCATTTGAAATGCAGCTTGACACTTGTTATGACACTTGTTTAGTCTATCCTATCTTAAATTAATGCCTTGGTATATTGTGACATAACAAAATGGCGGGGTCTAGCCTGAAGGCAGTCACAAAGTGATTACAAACATAGAAATTAAAATACAGTAAACTCCAGTTAAGACTCTTCATAGACTCAACGAAAAAAAAAAAAAAAATCTGCTTAAGAGCAACAGCATAACAGGCCTCTTCTGTTAAGACAAACTCTTGCAGCTACCAACAATGACAGGGATTTTGGGCAACGAACATTATAGTCTTGATGGGGGCATTCAAGCCAATAATAGAAAGCAAAATGAAAACTTCTTAGTGCAAAGACTCCAAGCAAATCGAAAGCAAATGGCGATGGGGAGGGTGAAAGCGAGATAAGTGGAAAAGTCAGCGCATGAAGCTTGCATCTTTCTCACCCCTGGCCTGTAGGTGGAGAAAGGGCCAGCTTTATCAGCAAAGAAACAACAAAAAGCGTTCATTTTTTCGCATTCTTCTCGCATTCTTCAGTTCCCCACAGGAGTACAGTAGAGAACAAAAGAACAAAAGAGCTTGGCTTGAGGGGAAAATGCAAGGGAGGGGGAAGGGAGGCAAAAAAAAAACACCAAGAGCTTGGCTCGAGGGGAAAAATGCAAGGGAGGGGGGGGGGGGGGCAAAAAAAAAACAAGTGAAAGTGAAAACGGGAATAAAATGGTCTGTACATTATAATCACAGGAAACGGAAACCATATATGTGGCACTAGCACTCCCATCAGGGGAGTCGGGTGCATTGTCAATGTTGTCACACAATGGTGCCTGAGCCCATGTTGTGGTCAGTTAGCGTTGTTTTTCATAGTGCCTGTGCGCATCATATTTGTTTGCAATGAAATGCAGCTAATTGTGATGCGCCATTCTCATTATGAAAGTGCACGACAGAGGAAGGTCATTTTGCACACAAAATATAGCTGCGTTGTGTCCTGTTTATGTGCCCGAGGCTCGTGATTCTGAGCAGAGTAAACGAATATCTTCAGCTGCACGTCGATCAGGAAAAGTTACTGCAAGCTGAAAGTAAAAAATATCCGGACCTCACAGAAAAGCTTGCAGACTTTCATAAGCAACTTGTATATTGGCTTCATCAATGTATGCAATGGAGGCGCATACAAAAGTGATAACAGAAATAGTAAAACAGCCTCTCAGAAGGTGAACAGCCAGAAGAATAAATTTTCCATTCTTAGGAAGGAAAATTGTGCTTGTCTCTCCCTTTTTATCTTTTTCTATTCGTCAAAATAGGGTCGTGCTACAGTTTTATTGTTAGAATGTGGTAGCAATTTATTCATGAGCATATTTATTACAAACTTGTGAAATCAAGTACTCACTAGATAAGTCCAAATAGTCTACTTGAAAGCATATATTTTTTTCAAGCTGAGTCAAATAAATGCTTTTTTTTGTTCCTTTCCATCCCATTATAAGTACACTTCATTCAGTGTTTTTAAGCAACGTATTCGGGCGTACTTGGCATGTTAGCATTTAGTTTTGGGGGCACTTCTGATAACAGAAACTATCGTGGTTCCTTTGAGTTAGTCTTAAAGCGAATCTACTGTATTCATTTATTGACAATGACCTTACAGGCCCGAAGGCATTGAGTAAGGGGGGTTACTGTGAAATCATGTACACTTATAATAAATGAGGCTACAGTGCAGGTTTTGTTGTAGCTTCCAAGTGTTCCAAATTTCATTACATTTGTCCTGCACTGCAGTGTCATTCACAATAAATTCAAGCAAAAGTGCTCATGTAACAGTTCACTGCCTATAGCAGGATGATGTTTTGGCTTGCATTAATAATAACAAAATACTTCGTAACATGCAATCAGTCATCGTAATTCAGCAGTACATGAAAAGCAGATTACGGCATGTTAGTCAAAAGAGAACACAGCACTTCTCTACGACAAAAAAATCTTGCAACGCTTTGTCGTGAAAATGTATCTCAAGTTTCTACGCAAACGTATTACAGTTTAACCTATTTAATATATGAATAGATTAATTGTGAATGAGAAGATCACTTTCCCAGACAGCATGGGAGAGTGATCTTCGTTATACAAATATTAGTTTTTTTAATACAAACATTTCAATATTTAAAATAATAATACAAGTATTAGTTTTTTTAGATTAGAGCATACATATTTCGACACAGTGGCAAGACGGCTGGCACAGTGGCGGACAGCTTGCTGGCCAGCACCCCACTGCGTCAACCGCTTGACTTGTGATACAAAAATTTGGGTGCAACGATTTACTCAAACAGTGACGGGTAGAATACCTTAGTCTCCATTGGACTTTCTGCAAGAAGTGACAACCACCGCTGAATGTGTTGCACGAATGAAAAGCTGCATTATGGAGCATGTTCAAAACTAGGAGGCCCCCATATGATTGTTGTTAAACTGCATGGGACACAGCTCAGCTACATCAAGTGCTGCGCCATAATACATTTCGAAACCGAAATGTTGCATGATCTTGGTCTTGTGACGCTGTGAAAAAAATCAAATGCACCACAATCAGCAGCAGACATCTCGGTGATGTATCTGATGAATAATGTTCACGATTCTGAAATCAGCCAATACCCGTGTCGGCCCTGTCAGCTGCACAGTTAAGAAGGAGCAAGCAATTTTTGGCAGTTTTAGAAACACACTTGCAAGTTAGATGTCGTGCTCACTGCATTAATATGTGGCTCAGGTGTTCTCAGGAGCCTTCTTTCTGATAGCTGGTGTTTCCTGGCTACGTTCAAAGTGCTCTCGATCCCCTTTTCGAACAATTTCGATTGGAACCTTCTCTTTAGTTGTCATGATCTGCTGCTATTAAATACAGGAACTTGTTTTCCTTAATGTGGATTTCTGCCTTTTGGATCGAGTTTTCACTGTAGCTTCCAAATGTTCCGAACTTCATTACAGTTGTCCTGCAGCGCAGTGTCATTCACAATAAATTCTGGAAAAAGTGCTCATGTAACAGTTCACTGCCTATAGCTGGATGGTGTTATGGCTTGCAATCCCTATTGTTTTTCCATAAAAATTGCCTGGTGGCTGTAGATGCTACAAATTAAGCGTCTGTGAGTCTGTGAGAAAGTATGGGGGGAGTATTTCCGCGAGGGGTTGTGTGCAGTTATTTCTGTAAGCCTTTCTGTAGCGCAGATCACCATCGATGACTTTCATCTTGCTCAAGCACCTGTAGCAAATGCAGCAAGTGGGGATAATTGAGCGGGGGCCGTGTTATGTACGAGTAACCTCGCTGACCTTAGGTGGACCTCAACTGGCAGACGGAGAGCAACCACGACACGGCTCTGACGCTGGCATGTGCGGGTGGCCACGAGGAGCTGGTGAGCCTGCTGTTGAACCGGGGAGCCCACTTGGAGCACCGGGACAAAAAGGGCTTCACACCACTCATGCTGGCTGCGACAGCCGGCCACTCCGGTGTAGTCGACATCCTCCTCTCGCATGGTGCTGACCTGGAGGCCCAGTCAGAGCGCACCAAGGACACTGCTCTCTCACTCGCCTGCTCAGGAGGGCGCTACGAGGTAAGCTTGCTTTCCTGGAAGGGTTTGGTTGCTGTCACGACTAAAGAGAACAACAGACATCAAACTGTTTTATCTGCCAAGCTGGGTGACAGTGGGTGGGCTCAATAATGTACAGTGAAATCTCGGTATAACGAACTTCAGGGAGCCGTGGCAAATATTTCGTTAATTTGAAAGGTCGTAGTGAAAGCCTAATAATGAACCATAAATATGTACTTATTTTCTAACGACCAAAACTACTTACCTTCACAATGGTGGGTCCTTGAACTCGTTTTTCACGAGAAAAAACAAATGCACAAGTGAACACGCAAAAAAAATGCACGTTTACTTTAATGAAGTCTAATTTTTTTCTTTCTTTGACGTATGCAGCACAAACTTTGCAGCGCGAAGGCCTCCAGCTAATCCACATTCTTGTGGTGCAATTCGGTTCTTTGGTCACAACAGCCTGCTTTTCGCATTCCAGTTGCCGAATAATATCCACTTTCTCGCTTAGCGAAAACTGCTTCCGCTTCTTCGTCGCAAGCAGAGATGAACTCATGAGTAGTAGCGCCGCTGTGCGAATGTCGACTCTCTCTGCGGACGCGATAAGTAATCACCGAAAAGAGATGAACACGACTGACAAATAAGGCCTCCTAGAGCACATGTAGAAGTGACAAAGAAAATCCCGAAGCATTGCGGCTGTGATAGTCTCTTCAGAAAAAAAAAAAAAAACTCTAAAAAAGAAAAGTTCTCGCGTTTCAATTTCTGTTCCCTCGCTGTCTCGGGTTTCCCACGCCCACGCTTCATGCTCCACAACTCCCACTCTGCCTCGCTGACTTTGACCTCCCGTGTTGCCCTCGCCTCGGCGTGGGCGTTTCAACAAAAAGAAAAAAAAAAATCGCCTTTTCGCACGCGCGTGCGTGTGTGTGTGTGTGTGTGTGTGGTGTGTGCGTGTGTGTCCCGCACCTTCGCGCGCCTTCAGAGAAGCAAGGCGTCCGTTCGCTTTGCTGTCTGCTTGCGTACCACTCCGGTGGTCGCGACAGATTTTAAAACATAAGCTGTAGTTCTGAGGCATTAATAATATAATGCGGAACTAAATTAACATTTGTTAATCTGGAAAGTTCGGTATACTGAAGTACGTAGTAGTAAAATAATGTTACATTGAAACTATTAGCAGTCGGCACGGAATTTTTTGAAGGTTCGTTAATCTGAAAGTTCGTTAATGTGGGGTTCGTTCTACTGAGATTTCACTGTACTGTTGAAACTGGCATATACAGTAGACACCCATTGAACGAAACTCCCTTGAATGAAATTGCTGCTTATATGGAACAACTGGCACTAATATGTTTGGTTTCCTACTTGAATATTGTACCCCTGTTTATCTCTCAGTAAACGAAACTCCTCTTAAAGGATACACTTTTTCCTGGTCTCTTTAAGTTTCGTTAAAGGTGTCTACAGTCGCCGACCTATTTTTTAGACCTGGCGAGGACCGAAAAAAAGTCCAAAAAATTGTTTTTTGTCAGAAATATGAACTTTATTGCATCAGACAGGCTTAAAAAAGTCCATGATTCTGCCTTGCCTCATACTACGCTTAAAAGCAATTTGGTTTGCCCATATTTGCGCCAAGGTGACATCGTCACCGTAAATGCTCGACAAAAGCGTCACCGCGGTGGCGATCTTTGCTGCCGACAGCTGCGGGCGATCGTCGTCATCATTCGAACCGATCTCCGACTGCGGCACAACCTGGCGTAGAATTTCTTCGTCTGTGGTTTCGCGCACGAAATCGTCATCGTCCGCACGAGTGAAGTCTTTAAATGGGGAGATTTAGAATAACGTTTGCCGGCGTTGCGGATATAGTGGACACATTATGAGTTCTAGAATAGCGTTTGCTCCCCCTAGGCAAAGGTCTAGGGACATTCGCCCCGACCTCAAACTCAAATGCATTGAAGCTACACACAACACTTCTCGGGCCGCGATTGCCGCACGCCATTTCGGATTTTCTGCGGGCAGGCCGTGAACGGCGCCTCGTGTTACAACGCATGCGCAGTGGCAGCGACTGCACCGCACCGCAAGGGCTCGCGGTGTGCTATTCTAAAATTCACTAATGTCATTGTGGTGATGGTGGTGGTAGTGGTTAGAAGAGGAAGAAGGCACCTAATTTCTGCAGCCCAGTCGGGAGCACGGCGCAGTGCCTATCATTGTGGCAGGCACATTCACTCCACTGCTGCGTAGCTCCGCCTCCTCCCTGTACGGTGTGATGACGACAGTGCTGACCACTACAGCTGACCGAAGACGAGAAAATAATCCCATGCCGCGATTTCTAAAACAGACATGGCCTCCGAAACTTGAAAATGATGTTTGCTTTTCCATCTTGGAGGCAGGAAAGCCATTTTAAAATTTAGCCTCTAAGCTTAGTCAAGTCGGCAGAAAATCCAACATGGCGGCGTCCATACAGGTTCATGGCGCGGCTCGAAACAAGTGATTTAGTCTGAAAAATTCACCTTTAGGGGGCAAATTAGTCTGAAAAATAGGTCGAAAAAATGCATTAGCCCTATGGGAACCCTCATGGTGCACTTTTGATGTCCGAAATATCCAACAAGTCCGAAGTTTTAGAGTCCATAAAATCGGTCGGCGACTGTACTTTAGTTTGACTTTCCCTCTTCGAAGTACTGAAAATTAAAAGATAAAAAAAGTACATGTAATGGCCAAAGTGTAGGAAGGATCCCTCCTTTTTGTTCTACTGGTGCAATTACAGTTTCTGCCCGAACCAGTTGCGTTGAGCCGCGCTTTGCTATCATGAGTGCCACTTCTGATTAGCACAGTGGTTCTTCCATCAAGCAATACTTCCTTAATGGCGCACTTATAGGAGTGTCAAGCCACTCTTCTAATCGGCATCGACACTCCTTACAATGAACAGCAGCTTGAAACATAAAAAAAATCTTTTTCTTCCCAATGAACATGTGCAATAACGAACTTCGATAGATAAAGCCAGAAACTGAATGTATTGTTGCAACCACTCTACAGTGTCCCCCATTTCTTGTTTGACCCGCAGTTACCGGCGGTACGAGCTTCGGTTTCAGTGAAAGTCTGTGGTGTCCGCTCTGTTCTCTGTGTTCCCATCGTACACCACCGCGGGTTCGAGCACTGAACTCCAAGCAGGGGCGCCGCGTCCTTGTTCGCCCGTCTCATCGCGCCGTGTATTAGCCCCGAGAAGTTGGGGTGGCACCACCTGGCGGGAGGCTTGGGGGACGTCACGGCACGGACTCTTCGATGCCCGCCACGGCGCGCCTACATAATAATGCGCTCGCTTCGCGTGCTGTTTCGCTCTTTGCGTTTGCTTTCTGCTCGTTTCAAGCTGCAGATGAACGTGATGAAAAGAGAATCGGTAATGTTCCTAGTAAAACAATAAAAGGTTTACCTTCGTTTCTGCACAATCGCGAGCTCGGTCGTAGGCAATGTGAAAGGGGCGAAAAGGCCTGTGTCATGCTGCTAACCCCTATGATGAATTCCATTCCTGCTCATGGCAGCTAAATTCTGAAGGGTGCGAAAACCAATAGCATGCTTCAGCTTGAATACAGCTCACTCATTGGCGCATAATCATGTGATTTTGAGATGCAAGACACCATTTTTACATTAATGGGTTGAGTTGTTCGTGGGTGATTCTTTTAGGAAATATGAGGGTTTCCCCTCCTCTAGTGGCATTCTATCGGAGGAACTTACGTATCTATGGAAGGTGCTTTCACTGGTGTGCCAAGCCTCGCATTCACGTGCAGTATCGAATCTCGCAAAATATAATCTTGAATGCACTCGCCTAGAATACCACCGCCGCTGTTGTATCTGTTATTCTCGTGTACTTGCTCACTCAACACGTTGTTTAGTTTCATGTGTCTCTTGCAGTAATTTTATAGAGATTCATTTCACCGAAATTGTTGAGGTTAGCTTTTTTGTTACCGCGCCTATTCAAATCAGTCACCAGTGATCGACACTTTGGATCATGGATTTCGACATGTTGAGTTTCTTTCTCGTGCACCGAGCACTTTTCGGTAGTTAGTCCAGCCACTCAACTGTCAAAATCAATTTAAATTTGTGCGTTTAAGAGGGGACACTGTACTTGAGATGAAGTGCCAGATATTTTCATGTGTTTATAAAGAAAATTCACAGTGTGATTGAGTTTTTGATGCTGATTTCAAAAATGTAATTACTGTTCTTCTAAACCAATTAGTTTTTGAGATATCCTAAAATTAATTACCTATTGTTTGCCAGTAAATTACAAGAGAAATTTTTATTGCAGAGCTACTATTGGCACGTGCCTGTGTACTAATGAACATTAAATTTGTGCGTTTAAGAGGGGACACTGTACTTCAGATAAAGTGCCAGATATTTTCATGTGTTTATAAAGAAAATTCACCGTGTGATTGAGTTTTTGATGCTTATTTCAAAAATGTAATTACTGTTCCTCTAAACCAATTAGTTTTTGAGATATCCTAAAATTAATTACCGATTGTTTGCCAGTAAATTACAAGAGAAATTTGTATTGCAGAGCTACTATTGGCACATGCCTGTGTGCTAATGAACATAAGCTACACAACAGTAGGAGTGTGTTTTTTTTTATTTGATAATGGTAGCAAAATTTGTCGCACCTTGTATTTCAGTGGTGCAGACACACCCACTTTATGCTGTAATTTCTGGCAAAAATTAAATTTTTTGAAGGTCTCAATCAAAAATTCACACCTACCATTGTGTAAACTAAAGGTACAGCTACATGTCACAACAAAAATGACACTCCTAGCTGCTTTGAAGGCAGAGATATCTTTTCGACGAGTTTGCAACTGCAGCAAAATTTGAATCCCGAGAAATCATGCAAAAACACAAGTCCATTTTGGGCAGGCAGACAGTAGCATGGAAAAGCGGTTTATTTACAATGATTTGCAAATTCAGCTTTCTCAGTAGGCACCAGGCATGTAATACTTATGTTTTGCGTCACCTAAAAGGCGTTTTTTCAATTGCCGCGACATGTTTTCTGC